GATCGAGCATACATAGTCACACAATCAATGAATGGACACAAGATGCCTTTAAGTACGATCCAAGCAATTTGTGTAGTGGCATTGATGGCTCTATGCAGCAAATTTTGTACGCCAACATGAGATTGCTATGTTGAGGCTTAAGACCTAGCCTCATTAAGTTCATTCTACCTCAAAGCTTAATTAGAGTTTCAGTTTTTCACTTCAAATTAAAATTATTTAACTATTTTTTAGCAACTCTTTTGGTTTAATTAATAAGTGGTAGTATCAAGTATCTTGTTAGTTAATTAAATTAATATTGTCAAGCTTAATTAACAAGTAAAACTATCAATCAACCTATTCACCAATTGGGCAAACTACTTAGCTTAAACAAGACTTTAATTAAATGATACATTAAATAAACAAACTTTTTAAGGCGCATAAACAATAGTTTATGTTCCTAAACACATAATATCTAATATGGTAAATAATTAGAAGAGTTATATGTATACAAGCTAGACATATCTTATATATTTACATATTTTTATATTTATATAATTAGTATTTTGATGTCATAACCCTATACATAAAAAGATGTATTTTACTCTTAAAAAATCCGTAACAATGGTATTTATGACGTGATATGAAAATTGAGGTGTTATATATTTAAATGTATAAGAATTATGTGATATGTATGTAAAAGCCCTAAAATAATAGCACTCCTATATAACAACATATTGACAAATTAATAATTGAGTTATAAATCAGCATTTTATTATATCAACAAACCTCAATCAAACTTATACTTAAGATTACTGACAAACTCTGCATAATACTGTGATAGGAATATTAAACAAATGAAGCATTAAACAATTCAAAATTACATATTCATCAATCAAATATTTACAAAACCCCCCAACTCCCAACTACTGGTCAGCGTCCACAAATCTGCAAAATTCGATCTTCCAGTCTAAAAAGCAATAGGCGGCCAGACCATTTATAAATATTAAATGAAATGGACGTCCGAATAAGACAAATCCGTTGGTTGATCAAATGGGGACTACCTTTTTGGTATAACAAACACATTCACTCAACGTCCAAACAGTGTTCATGATGATCACTTATTACTATTATTATTATTATTATTTTTGGTGTGTGCAATATGCATAGGTAGCACCATGTGTAGCACCATATAATACTTTCGTATTTACATGTCGCACGCCCAAATTTTTATATTTACATACATATTTACACTGTGTGCTTTTAAAATGGTGCATGAAAAGATGCATTTCACTTTTAAAAAAAATTAAAATTGATTGTATTGTTGATTTTGATGTGACAATAAAGATTTAGTTGATATATGTGTAAATATAAAAGTTTAGCGATGAGATATGTAAATTCATAATAGTTGTGTGATGTGTCTGTGGATGCCTTTTTTTATCTCTTGAATGTGACCTAAGGGGTGTAATTGAGGGAAAAAATATTATATATGGATTTCTATGTAGCTGCACCGTTAAATGAGGGTACTTAATGTGTACCTGATATTTGATCGTAATTGAGAAGCTGGCGTGTGAGTTTGATTGGCGCAGGCTCAACTCAATAAGTGACTCATAAACTGTGTTTGATGAGCTAACAAGCCAACTCAAGCCAACCTCAACTAGACTCATTTGGTTATGAACTGAATCATTTTAGAAATGAAGAATATAAAATATACTCGGAACTTATTACAACTCAATTAATACTTTATCATTAAATTAAATTTTAAAAAAAAATTTAAGAATATTATTCTATATTTTTTATCAAGTGATTTTTATTATTTATCTTTTCAATTATTCATTCTATTTGTTATTTGATCATAACAGTAACCTGAATTAATATTAGTTTCGCTCTTTTATAATAAACAAATCTGCTTGTGACCAGACTCAAACTCATAAAATTAAACCCGATCTCGAGCTAGCTCAAACTCAAGCCGAAAATGACTCAAAAGATAGCATGCCGCCCATTATGCATGCCTAATCCAATTACAGATGATTCATCTTTAAAAAAAAAAATTTCCTTATTATTACACAAACATTTAGGCAAGCAATTAGTAGATATACTTATTTGTTTTATTCCACCTAAAACAACAAATATATATTCATTAACGTGTCAATAACTAACAGATTAGTTATTTCATCATATTATCAGATATCGTTGGGTCATACGCACCAAGTTAGGTCAATTTGAAACAAACTATAAATCAATTTTAAAGTAAGATAAATCGCCAAGTTGTTTAGCCACCATCGAACAAATCTGAAGAACATATAGTATTGATATGACGCATGTCTTGAACATATGACTCAACATGATTTATACTTTTAAAGCTAATGCAATGTTTAGTTATAACTTCAATGTTTTATAGTGAAAGAATAGAGAAGAGTAAAATGCACATACGTAAACAAAATTAATTTATTTATAGATGCATTGGTTGAACGGTAAAGCTGCATGCGAAATTCTTCTTGCTTGCGCAGCTGGAATTGCTTGATGAGAATGGAACAAGTGCAGAAGAGAGGAGATGAGGACATGAGAAATTTGTGCTTAAGAAATGAGTGGAGAGGGGAGAAGGAGAGGAGGGTGAAAAATGTGATCTAAAGTGAGGGCTAGCTCAGATTTATTAAAATAAAAATAAAGTTTATACAAACAGGGCTAAAAGAAAGGAAAAAACTACAAAAACAACAATAATATAACAAAAAACAAACAAAAACAACAACAGACATACACCGAACAAACAACACATCCTTAGTACTGAACAAACAACAACCATAACCTCCTGAGTAACAACATATTTGGAGAAGTGGACAACAAGTGACAGTAGCAATATCCATTCAATGTGCAAGAATAACCTGAAAAATAAGAGAATAACAGCAAAAGTAATCTAAAAATAAAACTATAGAAAGAAAAAAAGCAATAGGTGCTAGAAATACCAGTAGCAAACAATGTAATAAGGATAGAAAAAAGATAAAGATAATTGAATAAATGAATTAGGTCAGCCAAACTCAAAGCATCTCAGAGTAACTCCAGCCAAACTTTACATAAATACAATTTTGGTATAAAACCATACAAATAAATTGTTGAAACTAAGTTTCCGCCGATTTTATTTGTAAGAAAAATTCCAAAAAAAGAACTCCAAAGAATGGCAAAGTTGTCAAATAAGTAAGGGCACATCATTGCTTCACCTAAAAACTAAGCCAAAAAATAAAAAAAAGATCAAGCTAACAATCTGAAATTCTTGGCAAATTATCAAATGCTAACACAAACGACAACATCAACAAAGAAATACAACTAAACAAAATCTAGAAACCCACCAATAAAAGATTAAATCAACAAGTAGAAAACGATAAGAAAATCAAAAAATAGTAAAGAGGATAAGATTAAGAAGAATATTTGTAACACCAGTTAAAGTAAAAGATTAGAATGAGATATAAGAGCAACTTCAAAAAAAACAAATTACCAACAACATCATAATATAGTCTGACAAAACATGATCCAAACCAAAAAGATGAGAAATTGAATTCTCAAGGATTAGACCAACAACAACAAAAGGAAAAAGAGATCAAAACCAATAAAAATGAATGAAACAAAGATCCATCCAAATAATATCTAGATGATAAGTCAAGAAGAAAATAATACTAATAACAATTAAAGATAAGAGCTGAAGATAACAACATCAACGAGAAAATTTAGTAAACGACATTATCAGAAGACCCAACAACAAGAAAAATAGAAAGACAACATCATAAATCAACCAAAGCTGAAAAACAAAACTTATAAATTATAAAAAAGTTTAATAGATTCAAGAATATCAATTTAAAATTTTCATTTCTTGGACTTGTAACCTAATCAACCAACATAAATAATGAATCATAAAATCAACAGATTTAGAGTTATATTAAAAAATCATGTAATTCCTTTCAAACAAAGTAATATAAGCTACAACTTGGAAAGATAATAAATAAATTTTCTTAGTGATCTTACAAGTAAAATTATCCCCATAATAAATGATTTGAAAAATATTAGAGGGAACTATAAAAAATGACTATTTATTAAACATTTTTTTTATATAGGACTTAGAATAAGAGCATTCAAAAAAGAGATGTCATGTGATTCAAACATATTTATTACATAAAACACAATTTAAATTAAACTGTAACCCTCTAAATATAAAATATCCAAAGTTTTAAGGCCTTTAGCAATAATTTACCAAGTATGCAAAGCATATCTTAAAGAATAGCATTTAAACCAAACTAACTTATAACAATTAATAGTCGAAAGAGAAATAGATCTAAAAGGCCTGCCCGAACCAATATCAACTTCATCATCTGAAAAAAACTTTAGCATCTGTACAAAGGATTATAAGACAGATTAAAATCAGTAGAGAAGTTAATATTAGATGAAATCAAAATTTCCCAGTTCATAGCGGGGGGGCAGATTCAAAACTCGAAATATATCTAAAAGTAGGAGTTAAAGGGGGGAAAGAGAACTCCATTGAAAAAATAAAGGGGCAAAGCCCAAAAACACAAACAAAAAAAAATTCAGAAGAATGAATAAAGAAATAACTATTTGATTTCCCAAGAGAGATAAAAAAAAAAGAAAAGAAGAAAAGTAATCTAAATATGAATATTTAGTATTTTTTCATAAGAATAAAACATTAAAATTTTTAGAGAAAAAATAACATTGCATTTCATATTTTTTAAAAAAATAATATATTATTTAATATTTTCTATAAAAAATTAATTTGAGCTTTTAGAAAACACCTTTTTTGAAAAAGATATTAGATTGTACTTCTTAAAAAGTCCTCCCACCTCCAAGAAAAAAAAAATCATTTTTTTTTTATTGCAATGTAATATTTAAAAATTTTCACCTTATTTTTAACTAATGTAATTACACATGCGACCCAAATCTTATTATTTTTTAAAGCAATATCTTGAACCTCATGATAAAAAATTAATTGCGCCAACATCTTCCCTTGTCGAGAAATCAAAAGCAAGAAAATCTCCCAACCATCCTCTCCAAAAAAATCACTCTGGAACTATTTATAGACCGTCTCCCACTTCTCAAGTCCTCAAGAAACAGAGACAGTGGCCGGATTGAGTAAGCCAAGCCCAACCATTTTCTTCTAAAAATGGCATCTTTCTTCCTCTTCTTCCTCCTTCCCCTCACCACTCTCCTCCTCCTCTCCTTCCTCCGCCGCCGGCCATCTCAACCCCTTCCCCCCGGCCCGAAACCTCTCCCCATCATCGGCAACATGCTCATGATGTACCAACTAACCCACCGCGGCCTCGCCCATCTCGCCGACCGTTACGGCGGCCCCCCCCCCCCCCCCCCCCGCCTTCCTCCACGCAGTCGCCGTCTCCACTCCCGAAATAGCCAAACAAGTCCTTCAAATCCAAGACAACATCTTTTCCAATCGACCCGCCACCATTGCCATCACTTACCTCACCTACGACCGCGCCGACATGGCCTTCGCTCACTACGGCCCATTCTGGCGCCAAATGCGCAAGCTCTGCGTCACCAAACTCTTCAGCCGCAAGCGCGCAGAGTCATGGACTTCCGTCCGCGATGAAGTCGATCTAGCCGTCAAAACTCTCGCGGCCAGAACTGGCTCTCCGGTTAACATCGGAGAAGTAGTCTTCAATCTCACCATGAACATCACCCTTCGCGCTGCTTTCGGAACTCAGTCCAACGAGAACGAGGCTAAGTTCATATCTATACTGCAGGAGTTCTCCAGGCTTTTTGGGGCTTTTAATATAGGAGATTTCATTCCTTGGCTGAAGTGGTTTGATTTAAATGGGATTAATAAGAGATTAAGGAAGGCAAGATTGGAGCTTGATTGGTTTATTGATCAGATTATTGAAGAACACAGGAGGAATCCAAAGGAAGCTGATGCAGAGGATACTGATATGGTGGATGATATGTTGGCCTTTTTTGTTGATCCGACGGATGACAGAAATGGTCAACCTAAAGATTTGCAGGGTTATCTCAGGCTCACTAAGGATAATATCAAGGCTATTATTATGGTAATTACTATTTAATCTTTCTTTTTAATCAATTTTTAATTTTTTTTTTAATTTATGCTTTAATTTAAGTTAGTGCAGGCATGCGTACGATGGGTGAAATATACCATTTTTTTTTATTTTTTTGAAAAAAAATGGTCTTAGTTCAACTGCTCCACCATCACCGGCGCGTCACAGTTGCGTTGAAGGAAGCAATTTTGAATTTTTTTCTCTTTAAATAATTTATTTTTATTGTTTTTAATTATATATAGAGTTCAGTTCCCATTAATTATTTTATTTTATTTTCGAAAAATTTAGTTTTAGTGTCAATTAAATTAAATTAAAAGTTTTTGCCAGCTTCTCTATAAGCCTTCCACTTCCATGAACTCTTAAAAGATTCCAATATATTTTTCATTTGCATTATTCTATTTATAATTGCAAGTATATATATAACACTTAATTTCAATTTCGGATAAAATTAATTTTCCCATGTTCTTATTTTTTAAATTTATCGCCCAAATAATATAAAATGATTACAAAAATTACTTTTTAAATTATTAAATTTCCAAAAAAATTGATCGTAAATAAATAATAACTAAATGATAAAGTTATTTATTTTGTAAATAGATCAGTTTTATGCATGCAATTATTTATTTATTTTTCAATTTTTTTTAAGGAAAAGACTATCTTACCCATTTGAACAGCTCGACAGGATGCACGTGCCTTGGGTCATGCTTTCAACATAGTACACAACCATATCAAGGAACTCCTCTTAATTATAAATATACATTGACAAAATAGCTTACTTAAAACACGTATTTAATATATTATGCTTTGGGAGAAGGGATGAGTTAAGTTCACTATATATATATATAGAGAGAGAGAGAGGGAGAGAGAGAGAGAGAAAGGATTCAAATGAGTTTTATTTTTTTTAATTTATTTTAAAATAAGTATATTAAGGGTCCGTTGGGACAGCTGCAACTTATTGAATAACTTGTTGATAAACTTATTAAAAATAATCTGTTGATAAACTAAGTACGGTAGTTATTACAAATTTTTATTTTTTTAAAAAAATCAAACCGCAGCAGCCAGAAAACAGCCATCGCACCTAGACAGGTGCGGTGTGAAAACGATGTTTTCAGCATTTTGAAAATGCATAAGCTGTCAAAATGCAGTTTACCCAAATATGTCAGCTGTGTTTTTAAAACGCCACCGCACCAAATAAGCTGCCCCAAACAAACTCTAAATAATTGATTTTATTAAGGGGCGGCTTGAATTATTTTCTTTAAGTCAATTTCATATTCAGTAAATTTAAATTTAAATGATTTACCGAAGCAGTTAACTTTGATACCAGACAGCCCTAGGAAGAAAATCTAATGTGTGTGAATTGTAATATTTATATGATACTGATAGTATTATGATATTATTTTATTAAAATAATAACATCAGTAATTCAAATATAAATTATTCGGATGTAATATTTTATCACTTTTAGGTCGTCTAAAGGTTAATCTTTCATGACCACATTTAACCGCATCGAACAATTTAACTAACATGATTTCATCACGTGCAGGACGTGATGTTCGGTGGGACGGAAACAGTAGCTTCAGCCATCGAATGGGCAATGGCGGAGATCCTCCGCAGCCCCGACGAGCTGAAACGAATCCAATCTGAACTCGCTCAAGTCATCGGCCTCAACCGCAAAGTCCACGAATCCGATCTCGACAAACTCCCATACCTCAAATGCGCCATCAAAGAAACCCTCCGCCTCCACCCCCCCATCCCCCTCCTCCTCCACGAAACCGCCGAAGACTCCACCGTCGCCGGCTACTTCATCCCCAAACGCAGCCGCGTCATGATCAACGTCTGGGCCATCGGCCGCAACAAATCCGCCTGGAAAGACCCCGACGCCTTCCGTCCCTCTCGCTTCGCTCCCGGCGGCCTCGACGCCGCCATCGATTTCCGCGGCAACTTCTTCGAACTTCTGCCGTTCGGTTCCGGGCGGCGATCTTGCCCCGGGATGCAGCTCGGGTTGTACGCGCTGGAGCTCGCCGTCGCTAATCTCTTGCACTGCTTTTCCTGGGATTTGCCGGACGGGATGAAGCCGTCGGAGCTTTCGATGGACGATGTGTTTGGCCTGACGGCGCCACGAGCGGAGAGGCTGGTGGCGGTGCCAAAGCCGAGACTTTTGTGCGGGCTGGATGCGTAATAAAGTACGGCGGTTAGTTTTAATAAAAGAAGTTATATGAAGTGGTGGGTATTTTGCTGCGGCAGAAAATTGTGATTGTTGTTGGGAGATTTTTACGGTCGATTTTTATTTGGGTGCTTGTAATTTGGAAAAAATATTGGTGAAAGATAACAATAAATTACTTGTGGTATGGTTTGATGATTTGATGAGTGGTGATGGTGAAGGAAAATGTTGTGGAATTATTTAATGTTTTTTATAGGATTTTTGTTTAGCCAAAGTCATGTTGATATTAAGAAATTTTATAGTCCTTTGTGGTATCAAAAGTCCATTGATTCAATTCAAGCAGCATTTATTGACCCGCGATAGATGGTTGTTTTTTATGTGGGCAGTGAGAGTTCGATCCACATGCAAACCATAAATTTTTTTGACATTTAACGCTCACATAGGAAAAATGTCGAAAATTTTGAACAGACTTGTAATGCCTTACCAATGCATAATTAATATGTCGGTTTAGTTTTAGGATAATTGATCCTGACAGTTATCAATATCTTTAATTTCAATGTAAATTGGAACACTGGCAGGTAAAAGTCCTCGGTAAGGCCGTTGGTTAAGGAATATAGCTGCACCTTAAAAATTATACACAAGCTGTCATAAATTAATGAACTGCTGGCTTTGTGATATATATATATATATATACATATATATATAATGAGTGCAAAGATGGTTCTTAAAATTCATTATTTTTTAAAAAAAAGGACAATATATTCCTAATAAGTATTTAGGAAATAGATATGTGGCGGGGTGTGGTTGTGGTGTATTTTTCTTATTTTATAAATTATAAAAGGAATATATCAATTTTTTCTTCATTTATTAATATTTTCTCCCAGAAGTGGGGGCTAAATTGGTCCACTAGATAAAAGTTGGTTCTTTATAGGATGGAGGAGACGTGTCATGTTTCTGTGGTTGCTACATGTGTGAATGGAATATTCTAAGCCAAAAAACAAATAAATTTTTTTAAAAAAAAGTAATTTAATTTGCATTGATTTTGTAAAAATTTTTAATTTGAAGATGGCTAGTGGGTTTTATTCAACGGGCGTGCGTTGGACAGCCAAACAACATTAGAAAAAGGGTTGTTTGATTTTGACCCGCACTTGCTCGCCAAAATCTGTTTTACTGTTCATTCCATTATTTACATTAATCACCCCCCCCCCCCCCCCCCCCCCCCCCCCCCCTCCCACCTACCACAGTTTAAAACTTATTTTTGTTTAAAATAATTATTAATCTATTTAATTTAGAATGATTTAATCATTTTATTATTTAAAAATTGACCATTATTAACTAATAATTTAGAATATTATAATGTCAACTTGTTTATGCTATATGATTAGGATTATACTCTATGACAAGTCAAAATGAGTAGCTAATATTTAAGGTTCTAAAGTGCGACAAATCATAGTATTATATTAATGTATATCAAATGAGTCAAGTCTAAAAATAGTCACTAATTATTTATATGGGATTGTTTTAGTCATGGAGTTTATAAAAGTGCCAATATATTATTAGAATACTTAAAATTGAGCTCTAATATTTCTTTTTGAGGATTATTTTAGTTTTGATTTTAGGATTCTATGATTTATGAACTCTGATATATTTTACATAATAATAGATCAGCTTTAAGAAATTTTAACTTTCTCTCATTTGATATACGCCGCACATCTTGATCAATATAAATAAATTATAAAAGGTTAGGTATGACTTATATACCAGATAAAGAACAAATGTTGGAGCGCAAGCATTTGGAGCAGGGGTATCCCTCTATTCTGTAATCTATTTTCTGAATATTGAAAGAAATCGTCGTTCTGCTCCCAGGGACGTAGGCATCTTTGCCGAACCTCATTAAATCTTTGTGTTCTTCTGGATTTGTGTCGATTACTGTTTTTCTTCGCCCTAATTTTCTCAACAGTTAGATATGACTTATATACCAGATAAAGAACAAATGCTGGAGCGCAAGCATTCGTTCGTCTGATTGTGAGAGTTTCGTTAAGTAGGTTGGGGGTGCAGGAGCAACGCCCCTACAGTACAATACAGAGTAATTTTATAATTGTAACAAGGAAATAAAAAAAAAATCACTGCTCATCACTCTTGAGGACGTAGCATACTGTCGAACCACGTTAAATCTCTGATTCACTATTCTTGATTCCTGTGATTCTTTGATGTTATTACTCAACATAAAACAATATAATTAAATTAAAAATAAAATATTTTATGTTATTAAAATTTTGTGATTATTCTTTTGTTGCAAAACTATTTAGAAAATTATATGTATTATCATAATTTTCAAATCGATGATGCAATGCAGAATTTTCATTCCTATTTTAAAATAATTTAAATACAATCTAACGGTAAAAAGCTGTGCTGGTAACTTTGACCATCAGAGCTAATTCGAAACTCTTACCCTGCACCTCGGTTTATTAGGTGAATATTGACCACTGCAATTATTATGTCAAGCCGTGTCAGTTGTGTCATGGAGAATCTGAGGGGCTGTGCACCTTTCCACACACACACACACACACACACACACACACACACATATATATGATAACCAACAAATTTTTATTTTTTTTCCTAGCGAACCGAACACGAGCCGTTCAAGAACAAAGAGTCGTTTTGATAATCCTAATCAGGTAGTCATAAGATGCTAAGGATTGAGACTAAATTTAAAAAATATTATTTATATTAAAACATCATTTGAGCCTAATTTAATAATTTTTATTCTGTTTTTTTTTTAATTAATACTTATAATTGATTAAAAATCTTTATAGTCTTCTAGTCAATTAAGTTTTTTAATATATATATATTTAATTGATTAGTAGTATTTCGAGTCAAAACGAGACGAACACGAACGAACAAATCTTTGTTCGTGTTCGGCTCGTTAACTTAGCGAACGAGCTGAACACGAGCTTCTTAACGAGC